AAAAAGCTAGGCAGGTGTGATGCACACTAATATGTACCATTCCTTCTTCAGAATGCTGTGTCCTCTGAAGAAACTGATGACTTTAAACAAGAGGTAAGTTCTCATTTTCAATCAGAGGCCCATCATGACTTGAAGAAATGAAAGAAGCCATTGCGTGGGTTCTCTTCTGATGAAATTTCATTAGCAAATTTTCAAGTAAATTGGCAGTCTAAAATTTGCTCAGAAAGAAAACATTTATTTACTAAATATCAGAAATACTAGGTTTCCTCAGATAAGTTTACATTACAGGAAATGTTTATTAATGCTTGCTATTTGAAACATTAAGCTGCTTGCAATATATTTAAGGTATTTTGTAGTTATCTAATATCTAGTAAGCATCTAATTAATGCCTATCAAAGCTAAGATTTTGCCTTTAGGAAGTTTTCTTTCCTAATAAAATAGTTTATTCAACAACTATTCTTTTTGTTAGGATCATTCATATATTTGCTAAGCAAAGTGTAAATTTATTCTCCTTAAGATTCATTTTGAATATACTAAGAATATTAAAGCAAGTTAGATAAAGGACTCAATATATTTGTCAATTGGAAGTTTAATAGACATTGTTTAATTCAATGAACAGTTTTGAGCTGCAGTTTATATATACATGCATAACAGAGTCAGCTTACGATTATCCATGATAATAGGGAAGTGATTATAGATTTTGGTACACACATTAAAATATGAATGCTCTTTTCTTTTGATAAATCTCATTTCAAATAGGAAAATCAGTCTCATAATTATGTATCTGTATCTATTACAACATTGAATTTAGTAAATTAAATAATGTTTAATATGTATAAGAAAAAACAATGTTATTAATATGAAGATTACACTCACATATTTGGCTTGAAAATATCTATGAAAATGATTTTTCTTAGAAAGTAAGAAAAGTTCCTCAGAATGTTATTATTTATCCCTGTGTTAAAAGTGAAATTGGAAGATGCTCACTTTAGCTCCTAAAAGCCATGGAGTATACTATGAATGCAAAGATTCTGAAACTAAATAAAAAGAAAGACAGTAAAAGACTAATGTGCTATAAAGTCTAAGGGAAAATAAAAACCCATACGCTAATTTTCCTGGTCATCTTAATTTTCAGACCCTTCCAAGTAAGTCCAATGAAAGCCATGATGACATGGACGATGTGGATGATGATGATGATGATGACCATGTGGACAGCCAGGACTCGAATGACTCTGATGAAGTAGATCACACTGATGATTCTCACCAGTCTGATGAATCTCACCATTCTGATGAATCCGATGAACTGGTCACTGATTTTCCCACGGACCTGCCAGCAACTGAAGTTTTCACTCCACCTGTCCCCACAATAGACACATATGATGGCCGAGGTGATAGTGTGGGTTATGGACTGAGATCAAAATCCAAGAAATTTCGCAGATCTGACATCCAGGTAAATCCTTTAAAAGACATATCTGATGGTTCTGACTAGAGCTCAAGTCTAGGAAACCATAGTTTGCATATTCATTCATTCATTTGTCCATTCATTCATCCATTCAGCAAGAATTCATTCATATTCTACTTCATGATCAATGAATACAAATCTTTTTCTATTTGGTGGTTTTTGTAAGTCTACATAATTCCTCTCTAGATTGGATTCCCAAACACAATTCTATTTTTTCAAATCCTGAATCACTTACTTTTAGATTTAAAAAAATGGAAAACACTAATTATTTTAAAAATATAATGGTCATGTTTTCAAGTTAAATAACTAAGAGGAATTGTAGAGTTGCAAATTACACTGAATCCTTAGTCAGAGAATCTGGATTTGACATAGACTTGCCATTTACTATTCTCTTTACTTTTTAACTTCCAATTCACTTCCTCTTTATGTGAAACAGATATAATCAAACCTATCTCATAGGTTTCATTACATAAGTAAGTGATGTACTTATTAAACTAAAGGAGATAACATATGTGAAAGGGCTTGGTAAAGTACTATACAAAGTAACATGCTAATATTATTTCAGGAAGATTTAGACAATTTTTAGTACAAGATGGCCTAAATGTTAGAGAGCAGAAAAGGATTACCATATTCCCATCCCTAGCTGTTCATATAATTCTTCTTCATTTGTGCTGTGATTCAGTACCCTGATGCTACCGAGGAGGACATCACCTCACACGTGGAAAGCGAGGAGTTGAATGGTGCATACAAGGCCATCCCTGTTGCCCAGAGCCTGAACGTGCCTTCTGATTGGGACAGCCATGGGAAGGACAGTCATGAAATGAGTCAGCTGGATGACCAAAGTGCGGAAACCCACAGCCACGAGCAGTCCAGATTACATAAGCGGAAAGCCAGTGATGAGAGCAATGAGCATTCAGATGTGATTGATAGTCAGGAAGTTTCCAAAGTCAGCCGTGAGTTCCACAGCCATGAATTTCACAGCCAGGAAGATCTGCTCGTTGTAGACCCTAAAAGTACGGAAGAAGATAAACACCTGAAATTTCGCATTTCCCATGAATTAGATAGTGCATCTTCTGAGGTCAATTAAAACAAGAAAAAATACAATTTCTCACTTTTCTTTTAGTAGAAAGAAAAGATGCTTTATAGCAAAATGAAAGGGAATATGAAATGCTTATTTCTCAGTTTAGTGGGTGAATGTGTATCTATGTGAATCTGGAAATAACTAATGTGTTTGATCATTAGTTTAGTTTGTCATAGAAACTCCCTGTAAACTAAAAGCTTCAGGGTTATATCTATGTTCATTCTATAGAAGAAATATAAACTGTCACTGTATTTTAATGTTTGTTATTCTTTTATGAATAGAAATTTATGTAGAAGCAAACAAAATACTTTTACACACTTAAAAATAACATTTTATGTCATTATGATCTTTCATTTTTTAAATTAGTGTATATTTTGTTGTGATTATCTTTCTTTTGTGGTGTGAATAAATCTTTCATCTCAAATGTAATAAGAATTTGGCGGTGTCAATTGCTTACTTGTTTTCCCACACTTGTCTAGCAATTAATAAAATATAACATTTTTTACTGCCTATGTAACATTTTTAAAGCTTTATTTTGGTTTTAATTGATACATAATAATTGTAGATATTTATGGGGTACTGTGTTGATGTTTTGATACATACATACACTGTATAATTATCAAAGGGTAATTATCATATCCATCACCTCAAACACTTGTCATTTCTTTGTAATGAGAACATTCAATCCTATGTTCTAGCTATTTTGAAGTATATGATACATTATTATTGACTCTAATCAACATACTGTGCAATAGAATACCAGAATTTATTCCTCCTAGCTAACTGTAACTTTGTACCCATTGACTAACCTCCCCCATCGACCTTCCTACTCTCTCTCCTGCTGGTAATCACTATTCTACTCTCTACTTCTATGAGGTCAACTTTTCCAGATTCCATATATGAGTGAGGTCATGTAGTACTTGTCCTTCGGTGCTTGGCTTATTTAACTTAACCTCCTCTAGGTTCACCTATGTTGTCAAAAATGCCAGGAGAAAACATGCACAAACTATGCATCTAAGAAAGAATTAAAATCCAGAACACATAAGGAACTCAAACAACGTAATATCAAGAAAAAGAAAAGAAAACTCAAATAATCCAATTAAAAATGGGTACAAATATGAATAGACATTCCTCAAAAGAAGACGTGCAAATGGCCAACAGGTATATGGAAAAATGCTCAACATCACTCACTAATTATCAGGGATATGCAAATCACAACCATTATGAGTTATCAACCCACCCAATTTAAAATGGCTTTTATCAAAGAGACAAAAAATAACAGATACAGGGCCAGGATTTGGGGAAAGAAGGACACTCGTATACTGGTAAGAAATGTAAATTAGTACAGCCACTATGAAAAACTTTATGGAGAACTGCTCAGAAAAACAAAAATAGAACTACTGTATTATTTAGCAATCCCATTGCTGAGCATATAACCAAAAGAAAAGAAATCAGTATGTGGAAGAGATATCTGAACTACCATGTTTATTGCAGCACTATTCGTAATAGCCAAGATGTGCAATCAGTGTAAATGTCCCTCATGATGAATAGTAAAACATGGTATATAAACACAATGGAATACTATTTGGCCATTAAAAGAAATTAAATCCTGTCATTTGGAGCAATGTGGATGGAACTGGAGGTCATTATGTTAAGTGAAATAAGACAGGCACAAAAAGACAAAGATCGCGTGTTCTCACCCATATATGGGAGCTAGAAAAGTGGATCGCGTAGAGATATACTGTAAATTGGTGGTTCCACCAGAGGGTGGAGAGGTGAAGGCTAGGGGCAGATGAAGACAGGTTGATTAACGGGTACAAATATACACTTAGGTAGAAGAAATAAGATTTAGCATTTGACAGTAGAGTAGGGTGACTATAAATAATTTATTGTATATACATTTGTTAAAAGCCCTAAAAGATGAGAATTCAAGTTCCCAACATAAAGAAAAGATAAATGTTTGAGGAAATGGGTATTTCAATCATGCTAACTGAATCATTATACACTAAATGCATGGACCAAAACATCACATGTGCCCCCAAAATATGGACACCTATTATGTATCAATTTAAAAAATAATCAATAGATTTAAAAGGAAGCTATACAGATATTAAACATATGAGTGAGTAACTTCACAGTCTTGGTGTGAGGAAACCTCTTCTAAGGATGAGAAGACAATGCCATGCCACAGTCCTTGTAGATTTCATTAGTCAGGTGCAGAAGCCCCTTTGGTTCCCAGCATACCTGCTTCAGTTGGCACTTCTCACACTCACCTGCAGGTGATGGCTGGATTGATGGTGCTGTTCCTGCACGCTTGGCACTGTGCCCAAATCCAAGGGCATGACCAAGTTAATCTTGAAATCGCTTATTTGAATAGTGGTACTGTTTAACAACTGCTCCTTGCGCCATTTCTCTATTAGTCAGGGTGCATTCGGAAGACAGAAAAGAGACCAGTAATTTGAACAGGAAAAATTTAATTTAAAGCATTAATAACTAGAAAGAGGGGGGTAAACCAGAGAGGACAAAAGAGAACATTAACAATACCATGGGGCTGAGATTGCCCATCTAAGGAACAACTTGCAAAAGGTGGAGCCGTCTCCCCAAAGCTGAGATTCAGACTTCACTGGAAAGGGTACAGCCACAGCCCAAGGGATGGCAGAGAAGTCTGCTGTGTTATCCTGAATTGGAGCTGGTCCACAGTGGTCCAACTGGTGGCTTCATGTTGGAAAACAAGAGACTTTCCACAGAGGTTCCAGCAGACTGAGGCCAGCAAAGAAGGAAAACCATGGGGCGGGCCAGCTGAGCAGAAAGTTAGCTGGAGGGTGGGTGCCATAAGGTGCTCTATGTGCACAGCAGTGTCCCTCCAGTGCCCTCTACTGATAAAGCTTGCCACTGTGCCAGCTGGCAAAGGAAGCATGTTTACAAGATTCAACTCCAGCAGCATCACAGAGCAAGGCAGAAGCAATGGATTTGCAGCAGGGAGGCACAAATCTGACAGCTGGCACAGGTCACTGGGGAAAAGGCTTATTCCTCCTGGACAACAAGAGTACAAAAATGAGCCTGGGATATTTTTTCATGATAGGATGAAAGCAAGCATGCAAGGACAAAATGGGGTTATATCCAAGGGACCAAAGAGCAGAGCTGCAAGGGGCTTCCATTGACCAAAACTGGGGTAATTGTAACAATAACAGAATAATGACAGTAACACATTGTAAAAATTGAATTTTAAAAACTCCATTAGTATACAGTGATACTATAAGAAAGAGAGCATTAAAGACGGAAATTTTTTCTTTACAGAGGAATGTCAGCTAGTAATAAAGTAGAAGGGATGCTATCATTAAAATGTTATTTCATAACCCACAAGGAAATAATTGATTCAGGAAGTGACCACTAAGGAATGTTAAAATTATTGTGCAGAAGATGATTGAGAAAGGTTATTCACCTGGTCTTGGGACATTATCCCACAATTATTTAATAATACCAAAGAAAAAGTGCTTTTAACCAGAGAGATTTGTAGCTACCATCTTTAGCCAGTAATAAAACTTAATTTCACAAATGAGACAAGTAGTTATGTACCACCCAGCATGATGCAATAAGAAATATGCAACATCATCTAGAAATTTTTGTAAGAAATGCTTACAAAATCAAATCACTAGAAAACAAGCAAATGCACAATTTGAGCTACTCTATAATACAACTGGTCTGAACTTTTTTTTTTTGAGACAGAGTTTCACTCTTTCACCCAGGCCAGAGTGAAATGGTGTAATCTCCGCTTACTGCAACCTCCGCCCCCTGGGTTCAAGGGATTCTCCTGCCTCAGCCTCCGGAGTAGCTGGGATTACAGGCGCCTACCATCATACATGGCTAGCTAATTCTTGTATTTTTAGTAGAGAAGGGGTTTCCCCATGTTGGCCAGGCTGGTCTTGAACTCCTGACCACAGGCGATCGGCCTCCCTCGGCCTTCCGAAGTGCTGATATTACAGGTGTGAGCCACTATGCCCGGCCGTCTGAACTTTTTAAAAAGCAGAATTGTCAGATAAAATACAGGATGCTGAGTTAAATTTGATTTTCAGATAAACAACAAATCAGCTTTTAGTATAAGTACAGGACATTTTATCCTAAACGATGATTCATCGTTTATTTGACATTCAGTTTAACTGAGCATCCTTGTCTAAATTTTCTAAATCTGCCAATCCTACAAAAAAGACAATTTGATAAGAGGAAAAGGGCAAGAGAGGAGATCGTATTCTAGATTAAAAGTATACCAGGTATAAAAGGTAAAACATGAACCTTGATTGGCTCCTGGATTGAAAGAGACTCACAGCCATAAAAAACCTTTTTTGGTCTGCTAGAGTTCCAGACAACTCTAGCAATCTGAATATACATGGTATATTAGATAATATTGTGGAATTACTGATAGTTTTCTTAGATGTGATCATTGCATTGTACATGAAAGTGAATCTTCTTATTCTTGAGAGAAGTATAATGACATATTTAGGGATGAAGTGCCATGGTTTTTGTAATTTACTTTCCAATGGTTCAGAAAATAATGGCTGGGAGAGGAAATGGGAAGATGTAGGTTAGAGGTTACAAAGTAACAGAAAGGGGAAATGAACAAGTCTAGAGATCCAATGTACAACATGAGGACTACCATTAATAAAATTGTACAGTATTTGGAATTTCTGCTATATAAGTAGGTTTTAGCTGCTCTTGACCCCCCCAACACACACACACACACACACACACACAGAGTACCTATATGAGATGATGGGTATGTTAATTTGCTTCACTACAGAAATCATTGTATTGTCTATATGTATCCCATAACATCATGTTGTATACATTAAATATACACAATAAAGTTTCTTTTTAGCTTTCTGGATGCTGGCCCAGGAGTGGGAGCTGTTGTAACCTCTCCTCTTCCAGTCCATGTTGCAACCAATAAGGACTATTTCTGCAGTGTTAAAAAATTTTTCAATGGTAGGCTGTCATGAGGAGAAAAATTTTAAGAAGTCAGGAAAAAAAGATACAGAAAGTAAAGAAACTATGGGCAAAGCATATTATTCCTTTAACTTTTCTCAAGGTTTAAAAATGTTCCAGAAATTGGGAGTAGGATAGAGCAGGCAGAACAGAAAAATGTACAATGAATAATGTCCATGAGATAGTGTCTCAGACATAGATATAAAAGTCTCAGAATAACTCCTTCATTATTCACCTTACAAGACCGTGAAAAAAGGCATTCATAAATTTTTATAAATTAAGAATCAAGACCAATATCCCATCCCCTACACATTTCTCAATAATCCTGTAGACACTCCCTTTGATGCAGGTCTTCTTTGGTCAGAGAGTCTTTTCATCCCTGGCCCATGGCCATGATACGGCCTAAGTTTGAATCAAAGTATTTTTTCTGGTTCCTGGCACAGTCTTTTCTCCTCCGCCACTCCCAATTTTTCAAGTTTTTGGTAACAATGGCTCCAAATACTGTTTGACTGCAATTATAGTGTAATAGCCAAGTTTCCATGGGATTCAGCTTTGTCAGCAGAGTAAGGCAGAGGCAAATAACTATAATGAGCGATTCTGACATTGACCTGTACTGAGCATGCAAAAAAGACCTTAAAAATCTATTTGCAGAGACTGAAGAAAAGATGATATTCTACTTCACAATTTCACAAGGTGGTTTTTTATACTTCTTCAATTTAGTAGCTCACTTACTGAAGCATAATTATATTCTCCACTCAAAATATACAGAAAGCATGCATTTCCTAAAGCATTGCGAGTTGAACTTCAACATTATTTCAATGCAGTCTCTTTGACTTAACTATTTTATTCTAAATATCATGGTGACTCATGTTTGACTAATCCAATGTGATCATTTTAATCCACAGTGTAGATATATATTGCATTTTAGATCCAAATCTCTGATAATATTCCCCCAAAGATGCAAAGACTTAAGTCCCAAATACCTATGTAGCTGAATCTGCTCTTCTAGTCACATTGAAAGAGCATAGATCAGCAACCAGAAAGAGAAGAGTGGTTGCCTCTGAGGCTCCACCAAAAGAATGTGGGGCAGACCTAAAGGGAAATCTAAAAGTGGGTGCCAGAGGCGTCCTTAGTATTACCAACATCATTTATAATGTATCGAGGTTATATTTTGAAGTTATTATTGAGTAAAAGAATAAAATTCTTGTAATGAAATAATACATCCAATTTTTTGAAGGTTGGGAGAAAGAGGGAGGGGAGGTCTTACTCCAAGTACAGCTCAAATACTTGACTTTCCCATACATCATCTTCTTTATCATTCCAGACACGGGTGATGGAGAGGAAGGAGAGCAGGTGCTGACACCATGCAGAATGCAGCTAGGCTCGACTTCACAGCGCCTCCTGAAACCCCTCGGGTGGTGGTGGTGGGTCCAATAAATTATCTAAGTTCCAATCTCAGGAAACTAGAAAAAAAGCCAAACAAACCATCATAGGCAGAAGGAGGGAAATAGTAAAAATAAGACAGAAAACCAATGAAATCAAAAACAAGAAAGCAACAGAGAAAATTAAACAAAAGTTTGGTTTTTCTAAAAAATTAATAAAATTAAAAATTCTCTAGCAAAATGGACACAGATAAAAAGAGAGAAGACACAAATCTCCAATACCAGGAATTAAACAGGGAGATCACAACAAATCCTGCAGCCATTAAAGGGCTAATAAGAAAAGACTACTGTTATGAGGTGAATGTATTCCCCCACCCAAAAAGAAATGTTAAAGTCTTAACCCCTAATACCTCAGAATTTGACCTTATTTGGAAACAGGGTCATTGCAGATGTCATTAGCTAAGATGAGGTCATGCAGCAGCAGGGCAGGCTCCTAATTCAGTATGATGATGTTCTTATAGGAAGAAGCCATGTGAGGACAGAGACACACAAGGAGAATGCCATGTGACAACAAAGGCAGAGGTTGGAGTTAGGCACCTGGAAGCCAAGAAGTACTGCATATTGCCAGCAGCCACAGAGCTAGAAAGAGACAAGCAAGGATTCTCCCCATGGGTCTCAGGGGGAGCGTGGCCCTGCTGACCCCTTGATTTCAGACCCTGGCCTCCAGAACTGTGAGACAATACATTTCTGTTGTTTTAAACCACACTGTTTGGGGTACTCATCACAGCAGCCCTGGAAATCTAATACACTATGAAAAACTTTAAACTCATAAATTTAAATATTTAGAAGAAATCGACCAACCCCTTGAAAACCACACTCAAAACTCAGTCGAGAAAAAACTGATAACTTGAATAGCCTTAAAACTAGCAAAGAAATTCAATTAATAATTTAAAAGTTCCTAAAAACAAAATCTCCAGGCCCGGATGGTTTTACTGGAGAATTTTACCAAACATTCACAGAAGAATTAACACTAATTTTACACACTGTCTTCCAGAAAACAGAAGAGAACACTTTCCAGTGCACTTTATGAGACCAGAATTATTCTGATATCAAAAGCAGACAGAGATAGCACCAAAAGAAAAAGAAAGAATAGCATAGATCAATATTTCTCATGAGTGTTGACACAAAAATGTTAGCAAATCAAATTCAACAGTAAAAAGAACAATGTACCTCAATCAAGGGGTATTTACTCAGGTATGCAAGGCTTGCTTAATATTTAAAAATCAAACAATATGTTTGATTGTATCAAGAAACTAAAAAATAAAAATAATGATATCAATAATGTGGTTAAAATATTTCACAAAATTCAACATCCATTCAAGATTTATCAAAATAGAAAAAAACAAAAACTCCCAGAAACTTTCAGGAATAGAGGAAAGTTCTTCAGCCTTATAAAGAGCATCTGAGAAAATCTACAGCTAACATCATTCTTAAGGACGAATACTTAAGGCTGGATGCTTTTCCTCTAAAATTGGGAAAAAAGCAAGAATGTTACCTCTCATCACTCTTATTCAACATAGCACTTGAAGTTGTATAATTGTAATAAAGTAAGAGAAAGAATTAAAAGGCACACTGATTGGAGAAAAGGAAATGAAATTGTCTCTATTTTCAGATAACATGATTGTCTATGTAGAAAATTCTAAGAAATCAGGCCAGGCGAGGTGGCTCACGCCTATAATCCCAGCACTTTGGGAGGCTGAGGCGGGTGGATCACGAGGTCAAGAGATCGAGACCATCCTGGTCAACACGGTGAAACCCCATCTCTACTGAAAATACAAAAAATTAGCTGGGCACGGTGGTGCATGCCTGTAATTCCAGCTACTCAGGAAGCTGAGGCAGGAGAATTGCCTGAACCCAGGAGGTAGAGGTTGCGATGAGCCGAGATCGCGCCATTGCACTCCAGCCTGGGTAACAAGAGCGAAACCCTGTCTCAAAAAAGGGAAGGAAGGAAGGAAGGAAGGAAGGAGGGAGGGAGGGAGGGAGGGAGGGAAAAGAAAGAAAGAAAGAAAGAAAGAAAGAAAGAAAGAAAGAAAGAAAGAAAGAAAGAAAGAAAGAAAGAAAGAAAGAAAGGAAATTCTAAGAAATCTACAAAAACATTCCTAGAACTAAGAGTTCAGTTAGATTGCAGAATACAGATCAGCTCACAAACATCAGTTGAATTCCTATATTCTACCAATGAACAAATGGAAACCAAAATCAAAAGCACAATATCATTTACAATTGCTTCAAAGAAAATAAAATATGTAAGTGTCAATCTAATAAAGCAGTTACCATTTGGCACCAGGGATCTGTTTCATGGAAGACAATTTTTCCATGGACTGGCAGAGGGTGGAGTGGAGGATGGTCTTGGAATGAAACTGTTCTACCTCAGATCATTGGACATTAGTTAGAGTCTCATGAGGAGCATGCAACCTAGATGCCTCGCAGAAGAGGTTCACAATAGAGTTTGTGTTCCTATGAGAATCTAATGCCACTGATCTGACAGGAGGTGGAGCTGCAGTGTGGCCCCGTTCCTAACAGTCCACAGATCAGTACCTGTCTGTGGCCCGGGGATTGGAGACCCCTGCAATAAACCATATACAGAATCTGTATAATGAAAGTTACAAAATGCTGATTTTTAAAAAAGAGACCTAAATACTTGAGGAGACACATCATGTTCACAGACTGAAAAGCTCAACATAGTAAACAGGTTAGTTCTTCCTAAATTGATCTGCAGGTTTAACACCATTCTTATCCAAAAATCATCAGCATTTTTTATAGACATGGAAAAACTTACTCTATAATTTACATGGGAAGGTAAAGGCTTTAAGAATAGCCAAAACAATTTTGAAAAAGAACAATATGTCTCTCTCTATGATTTGAAGGCTTAATATGCAGCCACAGTAATCAAGAAAAGGTGGTACTGCAGAAGAGTGGAAACAAATCAATGGAACAGACTGGAGAAGCCAGAAATATATCTACATAAACATGCCTAATTGTTTTTGCCAAGAGAAGGAAAACAATCTAATTTAAAAAAAAAAGATCGTCTTTGCAATAGTGTTGGAGTAACTGAATATCTGTAGGCAAAAACAAAAACAACAAAAACCCTTAACTTCACACTTTATACAAAAATTAACTGAAACTGGACTTAAATGTAAAACATAAAACTATAAAGCTTCTAGAAAAAAAAAAAAAACAGAAGAAAATCTCAGACCTAGGACTAGGCAAATAGTTATCAGACTTCACACCAAAGGAATAATCCATAAAAAGAAATAATTATGAATTAGACTTCATCAAAATTTAACCCTTTGCTTTGTGAAAGTTCCTGCTATAAGGATGAAAAGACAAATTACAGACTGTAGAAAATATTTGCAAACCACACATCCTGCAAAGAACCTTTATCTAAAATATAAAGGTCTAGACACTAACTACTCATAGTGCAGACTCCACAAGTTAAAGGGCTTAGACTCAACAGAACTGTCCTCACTTCAGTTATTAGTTATAAGTCCTAGGTCCCCAGGGTCCTCATAACTGATGTCCAACATGGCTACAAATTCAAGGGTTTCTATAACCTTCCTTTTGATTTAATACTCTGCTGAAAGCAATTCATAAAACTCAGAAAAACATTTACTCATGTTTACCGGCAATACAGTTTGGCTGTGTCCGAGCTAAGTCTCATTTTAAATTGTAGTTCCCATAATTCCCATGTGTTGTGTCGTGGGAGGGACCCAGTGGGAGGTAATTAAATCATGGCAGCAGTTACCCCCATGCTGATCTTATGATAGTGAGTGGGTTCTCTGGAAATCCGATGGTTTTACACGAGGCATTTCCTACCCTTCGCTCTGCATTTCTTGCTGCAACCATGTGAAGAAGTACATGTTTGCTTCCCCTTCTGTGATGATTGCAAATTTACTGAGACTTTGCCAGCCATGCTGAACTGTGAGTCAATTAAACCTCTTTCCTTTATAAATTACCCAGTCTCAAGTATGTCTTTATTAGCAGCATGAGAACAGCCTAATACAACTGGTTTATTATAAAGGGTACAACTCAGGAACAGCCAAATGACACTGATGCATTAGGCAGGGCATGGGGGAAAGAGGGGTGTGCAGAGCTTCCATGCTCTTTCTGAGTGTACTACCCTCCCAGCACCTTGATGTGTTCACCAACCTGGAAGCTTTCTGAAACATATGCTTTAAGAGTTTTTAATAGAAGTTTTATTACACAGATATAATTGATTATATCATTGGTCATTGGTCATTGAACCCAATCTCCAGCCCTTCTCCCCTCCCCAGAGGTCAGGGAGAGGGACTAAAAGTTCCAACTCTCTAGTCATGACTTGCTCTTTCTGTTTACAGCCCCTGTCCTGAAGCTATCCAGAGACCCTGGACACTAGTCATCTTACTAGCATATAAGATACTAGCCACTCAGGACAGTCCAAGTGTTTTAGGAGCTGTATGCCTGGAACCAAGGACAAAGATAAAATATATTTTTTATTGAACTATAATAAAGAATTATCAAAATTCAAAATTTAAAAATCAAACAATCCAATTAGGGAATGGACAATAGACATGCCCCGCCATTTTAACCTAAGAGGATATACAGATGGCAAATAAACAAAAAGATGCTCAACATCCTTAGCCATGAGAGAAAAGCAAGCTAAAATTGCAATAGTATATCACTATGACATAGATAGGTATTTCGTAGTGATATGCTATTGCAAAAACTAAAATTAGTGACATCAAATGCTGGTAAGGATATAGAGAAAGTGATCACTCATATAACTGGTAGGAATGTAATATAGCATAACCACTCTAGAAAATAGGTTGGCAGGTTTTAAAAACTTAAATAGACTTACCTATGGTCCACAAAGTGCAATTTTGGCTATATATTTTAGGGAAATGAAAACTTATTTTCATACAGAAATTTGTATATATTTAGAACAGTTTTATTTGTAATAGCTCAAAATAGGAACTACCCAAACGTACTTCAATGGGCAAATGCTTGAACAAACTGCAGTGCCATATCCATTCTATGGAATACTATTTAGCAACAAAAAGGAATAAACTACCAATACACACAACTTTGATGAAACTTGAGGAAATTATGCTGAGTGGAGAAAGCCAATTACAAAAGAACACATAGTGCATGAATTCATCCCTATAATGTTTATGAAATAACATAATTATAGAGATGGAGAACAGATTAGTGGTTGTCAGAGATTAGAGATGGAGGAGACATAACAGTGTGCTCTGAAGTTGTAACATGAAGTGATGATACCTTCAAGTATTTTGATGGTGGTGACAGTTACACAAAGCTAAACATGCAATAAAATTACATAAAGCTATGCACATATGCAATAACTGAAATCTGAGAAAGCTCTATGGATTGTACTGATGTCAATTTTCTGGTTCAAGTATTAAACCTGGTTTCATAAGACATTAACAATGAGAGAGGGTTGGTGTAGGGTGCACAGGACCTCCCCATACATTTCTTGGTACCTTCCTGCAAATCTATAGTAACTTCAAAGTAAAAAGTTTAATTACAGAAAAAAGATAAATGACTAATCTCCCATCATACCACCTTTCCTAATTTTCACTAAAATGCCCATGAAGACAAAGAATAAAGATGAAGATTTACACCAATGAATAATCTGAGTATGTCCTAACCTCTCCTAACCAGAAGATAAAAAAGTGTGTGCAGATTTTTTCTCCAGATTCCCCAGATTTTGCTTAAGGTAAAAGGAATCAAGAAACAGAAGAAGTGGGGAAAGGGGAAAGAGGAGGATAAACAGAAGGAGAAAAAGCAGGAAGAGGAGGTGAGAGGGAAAGGAAATAAAAGAAAGAGAGTCAGGGGTGGAGTCATGTCTATAGTCCTAGCTATTCAGGAGGCTGAGGCAAGAAGATCCTGTGAGCTCAGGAGGTCAAGGCTTCAATGAGCTATGACTGCACCGCTGCACTCCAACCTCAGAAACAGAGCAAGATCATGTCAAAACAGAAGGAAGGGGAGGGGAGGGGAGGGGAGGGGAGGGGAGGGGAGGGGGGAAGAAAGAAAGAAAGAGAGAGGAGAGGAGAACAGACAAAATCATTTCACACATGTCCACTGTCTGATGGCTAACTCAAAGATGATGAACTTGTAACAACAAGAAAGGGTTGCAGTAATTCCTCCATCTTCTATTGATCTAAAAGACAATGATGTTCTGTACTGTACCCTTTCCCTGATATCTTTATTTGTCAGAGCAGAGATTCCAAATCCCAGAAAATAATTGAGCAGGAAATAGATAAGGAAATACGTCTACATCAAATTCTGAAAATTAATTTTCCTTCAGATAAAGCAATATATGTAGGTCAGAGATAAAAATAACCCTGGTAGCAGTATGTGCAAGGATTATACACACACTTTTTTTTGAGACCTATTACCCAGGCTGGAGTGCAGTAGCATGATCTCAGCTCACTGAAACCTCTACTTCCCGGGTTCAAGTTATTCTCCCCCCTCAGCCTCCCAAGTAGCTGGGACTACAGGCACGTGCCACCACTCCTGGCTCATTTTTGTATTTTCTGTAGTAGAGACAGAGTTTCGCCATATTGGCCAAGCTGGTCTCAAAATTCTGACCTCACGTGATCTACCCACTTGGCTACCCAAAGTGCTGGGATTACAAGCATGAGCCACCATGCTTGGCCTACACACACACTTTATGTCGACAAATTATTTATTTACTGGGATATTAGAAAATTACATGTCAAAGAATGCTTAAAGATATCCATTAACAGAATTTAACAGAGGCTATATAGCATGCAAAATACGAAGGACAAAATAAAGAAAATGGTATACAGAGGGAAAACTAAATCATTGGATCACAAGAACATACTTTTAAAGAGAAAATATTGAAATAACAGAAATATTATGAAAGAAATCAATTGTTAACAACAAGTATAAATAGACAAAGCCTCACCGTTAAGACGAAGATTCACATAACGGAAAATAACGATAATTGCACCTACATTATTTTTCGTTTCACTTTGCTTTAGGTCCTTTTCCTTATTAAAAGGAATAAATTAAAACATTTTTAAAGATTTGCAACATTACTGTCAAAAGTAAAATTTAAAAACAAATAGCATAAAATGAAACAAAGAACTTACTCTACATTGTAAAAGATCCAATAAAGATATAACTATCATAAACCACTATGCACTAAATAACAGACCAACAAAATATTATAAAGTAAAAACTACCATGACCACAATAAATAATTAATGAAAACATACAAATAGTGAAAATTGATGACATACTCAGCAGAATAATTTCACGAGGAGTCATACAATACAGACCATCCTTTCCTCTAAGCTAGTTTGGACCTACCACCGAGGCACTGTCCCTCTGAGTATTCGCTTCAACACCTCATATAGTATAAGATTTCTCTACTTCAGATGACAGAAACTTGAGAAATTCCCTGCTCTATGTGAACATCAGGAATTTTTCCATCTGCTTCCTTCTGGTAGTTCTTTCCCTTGCTTCAGGTGGGTTCCTCAAACATATGCTCTGAAAACTCACAAGGGAAACTCTCTGGAGGTTGCTGGAGTTCTTTCCCTTTGCAATACTCTTTTTACCAGTTCTTTGTGAATTCTGTCCACTTTGACTTTCCCCAAATTCTCAATGAACTCTGCCTTCTCAATTGAGTAAGACTGGTAGCTTGGAATATTTCTCTAGGGAATCAGTGGGGAAACCATAGGGTTTATTTCCTTTGTTTATCTTATTTGAGAAATTACTGTTTATACTGCCTGTTGTTCCTAGGTTGGAGAACCATCCTATATATACATTTTGTCTGTATTTTTTTTAAGCAAGAGGGTAAATCTGTCCCTGTGGCTCCATCAGAGCCAGGAACAGAAATCAATTAAAAATAATTTTAGCTTTAAAAAATAATGAAAAACAGAAAATAAAATACATGGTCATGGAAAAATAAAAAGTGAGCTAGCAGAATTCAAAGAGGAATTAAAGATTTTAAATAAAGAATTAAGAAAAGAAAAGCCACATTGAAAACCACAAAAACATGAAAGGTACAATAATATGAAGGGAAAGATTTATAAAAATCCTATTAAAAACAGAAAATGACAAAAAGAGAAATTAGAAAGGAGATAATACAGAAACAGAACACAGTAGTTCAACATATGCATAACTGGTATTGCTAAATTTAGAGAACTAATGAAACAGCAGATTATTTGAAATTATAAAAGAAGAAAATCTGGTTAAAATAAGTAAAAATTTGAATTTGCTGATTAAACATGCATATTTTCTAGGTAAATAATTATGCTGAATAATCAACAGAAAGATGTGTCTAAGAGCAGGATAACAATTACAATAGTAATAATAATTTCACTAAACAGGCATAACTTTGGGGCAAAAAAATAAAATAAAGTCATCTACTCAGCCTGAGAGGAAAACAATGGGTTAAATCTGACCTCCTACTCTTCCCATAGCAACATTTAATGGCAGAGGAAAGTGGAGGAGTATTTAGAAAATCCTATAGAGGAGGAGAAGATTGAGCCAAAAATACAATGCCCAATCCATTCATTTTATGTCTATGGTAACAGAAGGACTTTCTTAATTTTGAACAGATTTTGGGAATAATGAAGCATTAATGGGTTGTTATTTGGGGGGAAAAAAACACCTAATAAAAAGATCTACTCAAGAAGGATTCAATCAAGAGAAAAAAATTCAAGGAAGAGGAATTCATGTTTGTAAAGTACTGGTAGTAAGTAACTGTTGGGTACTGTGCTCAGTACCTGGATAACAGGATCTTTCATACCCCAAATCTCAGCATCATACAATATACCCAGGTAACAAACCTGTGCATGTACCTCTGAGTCTAAAATAAAAGTTGAAAAGAGAAAAAGCTAGCTTGATTTTTAATGGTTTGGTTTAATATAACAGTGGTGTGTAACTTAGTACAAACATTGAAGGCTATCAGAAAACTCATGAATTTTGAATATGGGAACTGTGAAATATTCTATATATATCTGAAACTTACAGTTACTTGTTTTAGGATATCCATAATAAAACTCTTTCATGTGGTTTTCCAGGACATTGTTTTAAGGAATAAGCTTGGTGTATAATATTGAATGCTCTTGGAAGACTAGATCTGTATGTTTTCATCTAGAAGACTAGATCTGTATGTAAATTTAACAATATTAGGAACTATCTTTTATAAAACAGAAATTTAACAAATACATTAATGACTATAAAAATAAAAGGCTTTTTAAAAGCACTGGTAGTGAACAATGAGAAATTTAAATATATAAAATAAATTATATTTACCGTTGCACAACAAAATGAAAGTTTATAGACTTTGGCAATGTAAAAGATATTTATTTAAAAAGGTGCTTGTTGGTAAAAAATGTACATTTGCTGATATACTTATCTTTAAGAAGAAAGGTCAAATGCTACTGTGTTAGTCCAATCTCACACTGCTATAAAGATACTACACAACACTGGGTAATTTATAAAGGAAAGAGGTTTAATTGACTCACAGTTCCACATGACTGGGGAGGCCTCAGGAAACTTACAATCACAGCAGAAGGTGAAGAGGAAGCAACAAGGACCTTCTTGGTTTAGTGACAGGAGAGAGAAGTCAGAATGCAGGAAAACTGCCATTTACAAAACCATCAGATTTCATGAGAACTTACTGTCATGAGAACAGCATGAGGGAAACTGCCTTCATAATCCAATCACTTCCTTCCCTCAACATGTGGGGATTACAATTGGAGATAAGATTTGGGTGGGGACATAGAGCCAAACCATATCAGCTACTGAAAAGAGTTGATAAAATTTTTTAAAATTGAAGATAAGCTACAGACGGTGAGAAAATACTTGCAAAAGACCTGTTAAAGGATTCTAATTCAAAATATACAAAGAACTCTTAAAGTTGAACATTAAGAAAATAAACCATTTGATTAAAAAATAAGCCCAAAAGACTTACCAGGCAGGGGAGACGCCATGGCCACAAGGGTAGTTTTTCCCAGGGCAAAGCTTATCTATTGCACTGAAGACATGCTGACCCCTGTGATTTCCCCAAATGTGGGAAACTCAAGGGCATAATTTGTGGTAGTAGCATACTGGATGCATCCTTTCCCCTGGTGAAAAAATGGGCCAATAACCTGAACAGACACCTCACTAGAGAAGATATACAGATGGCAACTGAACATATGTCTTTAAGGAATTGCAGATTAAAACAACGAGAGCCTATTGCCCACCCATTAGTAGAGGCAAATCCAAAAATGCTACTGCTATTGCAGATTTGGAAAAAGATCTCTTATTTATTGCTGGTAGGAATGCTATAAATAATATTACAAAGACACATGTACCTGTATGTTCATTGCAGCACTATTCATAATAGCAAAGACGTAGAATCAATCTAGGTGCCCATCAATGGTGGACTGGATTTTTTAAAACATGGTACATATACACTGTGGAATACTATGCAGCCATGAAGAAAAACAAAATCATGTTCTTTGCAGCAACATGGATGCAGCTGAGGCCATTATCTTGAACAAGATAACATAGGAACTACAATCCAAATACCACATGTTTTCACTTACAAGTGGGAGCTAACCATTGGGTGCTCATGGATAAAGATGGCAACAATAGAACAGTGGAGAATACAAGAAGGAAGAGGCAGGGCAAGGGGCAAGGGCAAAGTTGAATTTTCTTTTTAATTTTTTAAAAGGACATTTTTTTGGCTCATGAAGTCCAAAAGTAGATCTACCTTGAATTAATGCTAACTCAGGGGCTCAAATGATGTAATCAGAATCTGGTCTTTCTGTATCTCTTTGCTCTGTTCTCTAAAAATAGATTCTTAGGATATAGCTGAGGCATAATGAATCAGAATCCCTAGAAGTTAGACTCCAAAATCTTTATTTAAAATAAAACAAAATAAAAAACCTTCCCAGAATAATGTCACGAACCTCTTATTGGTTAAATGTTTTATCCATGTAACTAGCAAGCTAGTTACAAGCTTCTTGCTGGCAAAAACAACTTCTTTAGCATTCTAATCGTATATAAAATTGTGCGAGGTGAACGTAAAACAGGTACTCTCCAAAGTCTGGTAGATCTGGGAATGCTGGAAGCTTCATTCATGTTGGCATCAAAAGGTATTTGAAAAAAATTCTGATAAGCTTTGGAAAAATCTGGGCTAGTGAAAGTTCAATTGGATTTAAAGTTTTTTTTAAACAATTATACCCAGAGGGTATTAGTGAATAAACCAGAATTGATGAAGAGAAGAGCATTGCACAGTATTTCAAAGAACTCTGTTCTTGGCCCCACATCATTCAAAATTCTTCTGAATTTGGATAAAAATATAGATAATAAAATCATCTATGCATCTGACAAAACTAGGAGATTGCACATAATAAAAGTGTGTCTCATAATGTTCTTGAATAGCATTACCACCCAAACATTAGTTCAGTTTTAGTATTATTCCAGTCTCCACATTATAAATATTTTTGTATATATAACTGTTGGCTCCATTTGCCCCCTAAGCATCAACATTTTGGCTGCCAGCCTGTCTGGACTTACATCTTTACAACTCTAAATCTAGTGAGAAGAAAAGCTTTTCTTTTCCAACAACTGAAAAAAAATTCTGGCCTAATTTTTTTTTTTTAACAGAACAGGATACCACACTTGTGAAAAACCATTCACAGGGGCCGAGGAGACATGATATTGATTGGCCAAGCCTGAGCTCCAAAATCACCACTTGGGAGCTTGTGGTGGTGTCAGCCACACCTGAGACACACATAGGCTAAGACTGCCTGGGGAAAGGGGATGAAGATGGGGGCGTGTCCCCAAGAAAACTTGCACTAGAAAGCAGACTTGCTCCTGAGCTGCTAAATGATTGATTAAGTCAGGTCCCTGTTCTCCAGGAGCTTATGTGCCACTCAGGAAGATGTCTATGTGAACAGATAGTGTAAGGTGGCAAATGCTGGACTAAGGGTTTACGAGGTAGAGAGGCATGTAAATTCAGGCTGGGAGCCAGGACTGTGTCTATGGAAGGTTCCAAGAAGAGTTAAGTCTGAGTCTAGAAAGATTCCCAAGTTTTTATGGGTAGAGAAGTTGAGAATGATCTAAGGCTGTTTCCATGCAGTCTAAATGTAAGATTCGATCCCCTTGAAGGTAGGAATCACATCACATCTTTGTCACTCTGGAATGCAACACAGAGCCAGACACGTTGTGGACACTCAATAGACGTTTTATAAACCTATTAATATTCCCTTATTAGTCCTCAACAAAAATTCTGTGGCGGATTTATAAGATGGGTATTTAATCTTATTATCCAGAGAAGGAAATTGAGATAGATTAGGTCATCAAGATCATGGTGCCAGCCACCGATGGTGCCAAGATAACCCCCACAAAGACAGGAACATATGCAGGGCAATCCAAACCAAAATCTGATCATGAAGCAAGGCCACAAATCCTAGCTTTATGTTATTAAAGCAGCAAAATGTGAAACAAAGGAAGGTCAAAGTCTTACTGTGGTTAGCAGTTCTTCTCATAAAGCCCAAAACACCAGATTTTCTTCTAATGGTTTCAGATGTCAAGTGGTAAAAATTGATTTTACAATGTTCTTGAGTAAATAAGTACTGGGAAAAAAATTGAGGAGGAAACATGTTTGTTTGGGTGAATTGCTAAGCAACACCACACATGCCAGAAACTCCTTTTGGATTTCCTTTGGAGCTGGAGACCACGAAACCAAAGAGTACTTCAGCTCATGTCTGTTTCAGTTCACACTGGAAAATAAAAGCCAAACAGGCAATTCTAATAATACAAGAGTCAGAAGTGTGGAGACCACTAATATTAAATTAGACTGAACTGTTTAAGGCTGCCTTTTAAAATGGCTCCTTCAAGTGTCCACAGTGGCACTGAGACTGAGGTGGGATTTGTTCAGGATATCGAGGAAGATCTACCACACTAATGAAAAAAAAAAAAAACAACAACTAACAGCAGCCAGGCCATATGATCTATCCCACTCAGTATTTTCAGACCTTACAGATTATGGAAATTTTTAATGTGTCAACAGGATTGTGGCAATGAGATGAAAAAAACTTTGTGCATCTCGCTTATTTAATCATGGAAAACTTCTTATGAGAAGGAAGGTCTTCAGATGGTATTAAAGGAAGGAATTCTGTGGGTAGGGAGAGAAATTTACAGCCTCTGGGCCTGCTTGAGCAAAAGCTAGGCACCCTAAAGGGGAGAAACAAGTTAACATAAAAGCACGAAAGGAAATCTTAGTAAGCCAGAAAGAATGAATAAGTATTTGAACAGGAAATATGTTAGATGGCTGGTGTTGGGTTTATGAAAATTAAGATTCAAATTAATACTGAAACTCCCAAAATGTAAGATTTAGGGTGCAATGGACCAAATGCTAAGTTATATTACACAAAAAAATGCTGTGACTTTTAATGATTATGTTTCTTTGCGATAATTTGTAAAGAAAAATTTGGTAGCACAAATATAACTAACTCTGAGTTGTGTATGTGCAGACACGTTTCCAATCAATTTGAATTCTTTTAAGGGTTAGGATGTAGTTTCTTTTCAAGAAGAATATTTCAGATTTTATTTTAAATAGTAACTGACATGTAAAAGGAAAAAAAATACCTATTTATGTTATCATTATTAACTACAGTCTGTATTCCTTAACATGCATCTGAGCCCTTCCATGACCTGGCCCTACTTACCTTCCCTACCCATGGCAGCCTGAGCAATCTCTCTTCTGAATCCCCTCAAACCCTGTAAAGTATAAGCTCTCCTCCATGAAAGCTGGGTTTTCCCCCTATTTCATAAACTGCTGTCTCTCCTAGTGTTGTGCTTGGCATATAGTAGGTGCTTAGTAAGTATTTGTTATGGAAGCCTCTAGGATGGGCACGGAGCTCCTGCCCTCCAGAAACTCACAGTCTAGTTTGGAACAAAGACATCCACAAAAGCAATTATAATAGATGAAAATGGTTATCATAATTAAGATACAAGAGCTAAGAACAGTTCTAACACTATTAGCATGTACGTGTCAGACAGTGTTCCACATGCTATGGTTTGGGTGTGTGTGTTCCCCCATAATTCATACATTGAAATCCTAAACCTTCAAGGGGATGGTATAAGGAGGTGGGGCCTCTGTGAGGTGATTAGATTATGGGGGTGGAGACCTCACAAATGAGATTAGTGCCCTTAGAGAAGAAGCTCAAGGGAGTGCTTTTGCCCTTTCCACCATAAGACACAGCTAGGAGGTGCAGTCTATGAACCAGAAAGTAGACCTTCCCCAGACACCAAATCTGCTGGCAGCATGATCTTGGACCAACCAGCTTCTAAAACTGTGAGAAATAAAGATTCGTTCTTTATAAGCCACCCAGTATATGGTAGTTTTTATAGCAAACCAAATGGACTAAAACGCATATATCAATTCACCTAAGCCTCCCAACAACCCTATGAGGTGGGCATTATCATTATTCTTATTTTTTCAGGCAAAGGAGATGAAGTGACTTGCCCAAGGTCACAGAGCTTGGAAGTGGGGAGCAAAATTGGAATCCAGGCAGTCTGGCTCCAGGGTCCTTACAATGTATTAGTGACTGCAGGCACAAGCCATAGACTAAGTCTGACTCAAAGACCACTGAAGTTTCTTCTAAGTCTGGGATTTCAGATGATTGCTTCACTAGTGCTAACAGGGAAGCATAGAAATATGGAGGAAATATTTATGATATCTCTTCCATTTGGAACACATTCATGCTTCTCAAACTTTGGATGCCCAAGAATCCCCTGTGAAGATTCAGGATTTCAGGACTGAAATCTGGAATATTTTGAGTCAATAAGGTTGGAATGAGGACCCAGTATCTCTATTTTTAGAAAGTGATCCAAGTAATGTTGGAGATCTTCTGATGGCAATCTGAAAACACTGTACTAGACCTATCCTCCAGAGGACCCTTTGGCTCAGCTTCTGCATTCTCCTTCCAGGCCTAGCTCTCCTCTGCTGGCATGTGTCTGTAGGAATCCTTGGACTCTGCAGTGCTGGTGGTGCTATTCAGGGCATCTTCAGCATTAGAGGTTCCTTGGATGACAGGCACCATAACCCTTACTCCACTTGGTAATCTCTCATTTTTGGTCTGTCTCCTCTTAAGGGCCAAGGCTGGATCATACTCTGCTCTACATGCCCAGATCTTAACCCAGGGCACAGGAAATGTCTTCAGAATGAATTGATGAACAGCATGACCCAGGCCTCTGCACCAGACCCGCCAGCCTTGGCTTTGAGAAGCTCACAGTTAAAAGAAGAACATGAATATCTAAATTAATAAACTGCAGGATCAGGTGATAGGTAGCCATAACTACCTAAATATTAGCAGCATGTTATAAGCACATAAGGAATGAATGAATAATACTGCACAGGTGGATGGATGGCATGAGAGTCCATGCTAGAGGAGTAGATTAAGAGCTATTATGGCTAAATTATGTAGAAATTCTAATCTCCTGTACCTTAGAATGTGACCATACTTGGAGACAGGGTCTTTAAAGAAGTAATGAAATTAAAACACTTTGGGAGGTCAAGGCAGGTGGATCACCTGAGGTCAGAGGTTCAAGACCAGCCTGCCCAACATGGAGAAACCCCATCCTTACTAAAAATGCAAAAAAAAAAAAAACCAAAAAAATTAGCCAGGCATGGTAGAGGTCACCTGTAATCCCAGCTACTTGGGAGGCTGAGACTGGAGAATCACTTGAACCCAGAAGGCAGAGGTTGCAGTAAGCGGAGATTGCGCCACTGCACTCCAGCCTGGGTGACAAGAGCAAAACTATGTCTCACACACAAAAAAAGTCATTAGAGTAGATCCTAATCCAATATGATTACGAGAATAGACAATTAGGACACAGATGCATACAGAGGGAAGACTGCGTGAGGACACAAGAATCAAGACATCTGCAAGCCAAGGAGAGAAGCCTCAGAAGAAACCAACCCTGACAACGCCTCATGAGAAAATTTTTTCTTTTCTTTTTCCTTTCTTCTTTCCCTTTCTTTTTTTCTTTCCTTTTCCTTCTTTTTTTCTTCTTCTTCCTCTCTCTCTCTCTTTCAGACAGGATCTCATTATGTCACCTGGAGTGCAGTGGCCAGATCCCGGGCTTGAGCGATTCTCCCACCTCAGTGTCCGGTGTAGTTGGGACCACAGGCATGTGCCACAAAACCTGGCTCGTTTTTGTATTTTCTGTAGAGAGGGGTGAGAAAATAAATTTCCGTTAAGCCATCCAGTCTCTGGTACTTTGTTATGGCAGCCCTAACGAACAAATACAGGAACAGATTATGAATGAATTTACTAAACCAAACCACTGAAATTAAATTTTATCCTTTAGGCTACCAGGAGCCCACAGAGGTGTCTAGCCATCAACGTGACAAATAAGCAGCTTTGGTTTTGGCATATAACCTGGAAATAGTGAGGACACCAACATGGAGAATAAAGATGGAATTGACAGAGTTGAATTGTTTCAATGTCGAATAACGCAAGACATAAGATAAAGCCAGCAGGAGTGAGAAAGAGAGATCATATCAGAGAGATTTGTGGGGCAGAAGTAACAAGAAGATGGGGTGTAGGCGGTGAAGGGTAAAGGGCGAGCCTTCCATAAAGAAGAGTGGCCTGGGAAGTGAGGAGGACAGGGAAGCCCCAAACCTCACCTGGGGATACGGGAAGTGAAGCAGGTTCCAGAGAAGGGGATAAGGTAATAGATTTGGCTTAGGGGAGGATAAGTTTCAGACAATTGCAGAGCATCGCGTTAGATGTGTTCAGAAGAGTGGAAAAAAAGTTCTGTGCCTAGACTCTCGGGCAAGATTCTGTTGCTAGATGTCAGTTCTGGCCGCGGGGGAACCGGAGATCGCGGTGGAGGCACCAGCGATCCATCCGAGAGTCCTATGACGAATCCCTGGGATCCCCACAATGTGTGGAGACAGAAGCCAACCAGAGATCGAGAGAGCATCTCCAAAGCAGCAGAATCAGACAGGAGGCCCGCCAAATGCACAGCAAGTCAGCCTTGGTAGTTTGCAAATGGAAAGATTTCTTTGCCCCGCCGGAGATTTCAGCTCAGGCTGAATGTCACTAATTCACACCGTCTCACCAAAAGGTTCTTTCCCGGAACTTTGGTAAATCGAGGCAGAAGTGGCTGGCGGTTAATAACGGGGACCCAAGAGTTATCTCGACATCAGGCAGGCAGCGACAGTTCCAGGAACTCTTTCCTTGCAGGCAGGCGGGCGGGTTCGCGACTCCCTCCCTTCCCGGGCCTTTCCCCTAATGGAAAGTCGGCTCCAGCGCCCGGGCTCCGGTTCCACTTGCAACGCGGGCCTAGGAGCCGCCGGGCAAGCGCGCCGACCGCGTGGGCGGCTCCCTCGCGCCTCCCCCCTCAGCGCGCCTCGGCCGCTGGGCGTGGCGAGGCGAAGCCAGAGGGAGGCGGGCCGAGGGGGCGGGCGAGGGACGCGGGCCCGCGGGGAGGTCGGGGGCGGGGAGCAGGAGGCGGCGGGCCCCGGGAAGAAAGGAACATGGCTCCTGAGGCGCAAAGCGCCGATCGCGGCGCCGCGCACTCGCGCGCCGTGCACCAGTGACCGCGATGGTAAACTCCAGGCGCGTGCAGCCGCAGCAGCCCGGGGACGCCAAGCAGTCGCCCGCGCCCCGCGCGCCGGGCCCGGGCCGGCTGATGGCGGGTGGCGCTGCAGTGGGCGCCAGCCTCGCAGCCAGGGGCGGCCTCCGCGAGCAGCGGGGCCTGGAGATCGAGATGCAGCGCATCCGGCAGGCGGCCGCGCGGGACCCTCCGGCCGGAGCCTCGGCTTCCCCTTCTCCTCCGCTGTCGTCGTGCTCCCGGCAGGCGTGGAGCCGCGATAACCCAGGCTTCGAGGCCGAGGAGGAGGAGGAGGAGGAGGAGGAAGAGGAGGTGGAAGGAGAAGAAGGCGGAATGGTGGTGGAGATGGACGTGGAGTGGCGCCCGGGCAGCCGGAGGTCGGCCGCCTCCTCGGCTGTGAGCTCCGCGGGTGCGCGGAGCCGGGGGCTTGGGGGCTACCACGGCGCGGGCCACCCAAGCGGGAGGCGGCACCGGCGAGAGGACCAGGGCCCGCCTTGCCCCAGCCCGACCGGCGGCGGGGACCCGCTGCATCGCCACCTACCCTTGGACGGGCAGCCGCCCCGAGTGGCCTGGGCCGTGAGGCTGGTTCGCGGGTTGCGAGGTAAGAGCGCACGACCCGCAGCGGCTGATGCACAAACCAGAGGCCGGCGCCGGCCGGGGCCATCGCCCGCTGCGGCCGCTCCCCGGCTCCACCTGGCATCCCCCCTGAGTTCCGCCTCCCTAGGAAGCGCATTCCCCACCTCCGCTAATCCTGCCCTGTTTCCGGTACCCGGTGCGGAATTCCACTGCGCTCTCGCTGGTGCACATTTATTGGATACCTCCTTCTTTAGGATATGTCCCCGTATTCTTTTTTACTGAAAATAAGTGAAAGCCTAATTAGAGTGAAAGAGTACATGTGAAGATTTTGTTTTTCTTGTAGGGGAAAAAAATGAACATTAATTGTAGTGTAACTGATGGTAGTTGCAACTGCATGTTTGCTAATGTCACAAAATCTAAAGGAAAATGTTATAGTCACCCGCAGTTTCCTTCTTGCCTGGATGCTCCGTTGTCCCCTCATCCCGGTCTGAAACGGTAACAGTACAGTATATACAGTGTTATCCAAGCTGTAAGAGGAGTGTGGCAGATTGTCATTGATGAATTCTTTTGGTGATGTGTGTGGTTGTTTTGGGGAGTGGGAGCTGTTGAGAACACTACAAATAGACTAAAATAATATCCGTGAAGTCATTTGGCTGGTTCTAATTCTAGACCTTTTTCTAAAAGCAGTTGCAAAGGAAAGTTACATTGTTTAAAAAAAATTTGAAGTATGTTTTTAAGTAACTAAATTAATGTTCTTTGAAATTCCACCAAAACGATGAAGTCACCAGATACCAGCAGATAAATGTGTCTGAGTCCAGTCAGCCCAGCTCTACAAAAGGCAGAAGAGGAATTTTCAAATTTGCCAGTGCCCAGTAAGAGGACATGAATTTTCCAATACAGAGGAAATTCTCTTTTTACAAATTTTGAAAGAGGTATCCTTGGAAAAGTGTTGCATTTGCTTTTACCCTTCAAATTATTTTAATCCATATTTTTAAGAGTTTCTATTCTCAGGTGTTTTTAATTTTTCTTATTCTTCCCCTTCTGTCGGTTTTGAAAATCTTGCACAAAAACAGCCTAGATGTTGTTGTAGCAATGTGATTAAAACCAGGTCGGGCCTACACTCAAATCCCAGTTCCACCACTCATTTGCTATATGACCTTGAGTAAGTTACTTAACCTCTCTGATCCCCCAGATTTTTGATTTTTTTTTTAAAGAGATGATCATAGTGCTTAGTTCTTGACTCGCTGGGAGGATTAAATGCGTTAAGATATATAAAATGTATTTGCCGTGTTGTTAGTGCTTCAGAAATATAAAGTAAACATTTTGGTACTTTTATGGAGGTACTTATGCTAGTTAATATAATTCAAGCATGGTGGGGAACAAAAGATCCTTTTTGGATAACCTGTGTGAGTAGATTAATAAAACACTAATACTTTTTAAGGTTCAAAACTGGATTAATGCAAATTATATATTATTTTACACCATTTAAAATGTGCATTTAAAAAACATTCACTCAAGTGAGAGAGAGGTTCCTTTTAAGTTAATAAATAATGGTAAGTTGCATGATCCTTTTCACTCAGTTTAAGCATTTGATAACACACCTAACCTTGTTTGAATAAACCCAGTAACAGAATATAGAGAAATAAAATATATATAAGTATGTATATACATTTATTTCTTTTATAGAAAACTTTCAGGAAACAAAATGAATAAGCTCATAGTCATAAAACTTCTAGTCAAACTGTGTCAGTGGTCTGATTTGTAGGAAAGCAGACTCAGGACTCAGGAATTTTTTTAAGAAACAGGGTCTCACTCTGTCACCCAGGCTGGAGTGCAGGGAAGCAAACATAGCTCACGGCAGCCTCAAACTCCTGGGCTCAAGCTGCCCTCCCACCTCAGCTTCCCAAGTAGTTGGGATTACAGTTGCAAGCTGCTGCTCCCAGCTGAAAAGTTTTAATTATATAAAATTTAAAAATAAATTGGTATTGCTTTCTTTTGTGAAGAAATATAGTTGATATTCTTGTCATTTATTAAATAAGCAACACTTGTTAAATAATTAGCACCTATTGTGAACATAGCACTGCTTGCTGCTACGAAGAAATAAACTAGAATAGCATATCACTATTTTCATATGGTTGAAAACCCAGAAATGTAAAATAAATAGCCATGAATGGGTTGAGATTTTTCCCCCTCTTTGGATACTAATGACAGCAATCATATATGAACTATGTAAGCAGTGCCTTAAGATCAGAACAGAAAGTAACTTGCAATTTTTAAAGGAAGGAGAAATTACTGAAGTTTGGAGTGGTCAGGAGTTTCCCTGGAAGTCTCTTGCCATTATGACTACACAACTCACCAAACCACCTGAGCCTCAGTCCTCATTTATCAAATGGAGGAGTTGAACCTGATCTCCAAGGTCCTTTCTAGCTTCACCATGCTCTGGTTTATTGTTTAATGACATGAATCCAAGATAAACAACAAATGGTCATTTTTTTGCTCCTTCTACAGTTGATAGATCTTCTTAGTAAAAGAAAAAGAGTAAAAAAGACATGTTTGAGGCCTGTTTGCAGGATGCATTGTATCTATCAAGGAATTAAGAATGTATCCCTAGATATTAGGAAGGAGTTGAAAGTTTCTGAGCAGGAAGAGAACTTGCTGAAAGGAAATTGAGTGAGCAGCATGATGTACAGGAGAGCTTGGCAGAGGGAGACAGGAGGCAAGAAGACCCTCAGGAGGCAGCCAGTAAGGAGGTGAAGAGGGCCTGGACCAAAGGAAGCCAAGGAAGACAAAGACTTAAAGATGGTGCCCAGACTTAAAAGTATCCTCAAGTATTTTTTACTCTTTTCTTAGCAAACTCTTTTTAATACAAAGATAAAATGTGGTACTCTGAGTCATCAAATTTTCTGAATTTCAGAAGTTGAATGTTTTTGTGAATGCATCAACCTATTAAAGTCAGTTCCTATTTGTTATTTTAGGCATATATTCTTGGGCTTTTTTTCCTAGAGAAATTATGAAGTACTTGCTGTACAAGTCAGGGTGGGCTAAGCTGCTAAAACAGATACCTCCCTCCCCTTCAGTACCCGGAAGTATAAGAAGTTAATTTCTTGCTCATGTAACATTTCAGAGGGTATTTCAGGTTAGCAGCAACTTTCCTGCATGTGGTGATTAAGGGATCCAGGCTGCTTCTTCCCTCTTGGCTCTCCCAGGGCCCTGCCATTGCCTCCGTGGTCAAGACTTAACAGCCACATGCAGGTTCTGGTGTAGCGTGAAGAAGGCTCGCCACTGCTATTTCCTTAAATGCCTCATTTTATAAATGGCCCACATCACTTTCACTCATGACCCATTGGCAGAGTTCTTAATTATTTAGCCACAGATATCTACAAGGGAGGCTGGAAAACATAATGCAGCCATGTGCCCAGGAGGGGAAAAATGAATTCCAGCAGGTGGCTAGCAATGGCCTCATTAGGGCTCGGGATCAAATGAAATAGTAAGTCTACCCTTATTTCTCCTAGAATAATTGGATCTTGACATTGAAATTGGTGTGCTGATTGTATTTAATAAGTGACCTCCAATGCAAAATTATTCACTATTTTATTTTGCCATACTTTATGTAATTTTTATTTTTTCTGGCTTCCCTTTTGATGTCTAAAGGGAAGCATAATTAGTTATTGGAAAGCTTATTAAGACTTAAAAGAGATTTGAACTTGGTTTTGGTTGATGCTACCACACAGAACTGCAGACATCCAACTCACTGCTCTTACTTTCTGCTCATGATAGTCTATACACAGTGACTGATGAATTTAGCCTGTCTTAAGGCTTCAGAATTTAGTCTGATGTCACCACCAGCAGAGAATTATCCTAAATTACAGGGCAGTTGTGCCCCTCAGGGGATATCTGGCCATCTCTGGAGACATTTCTGCTTGTCATACCTGGGAGAATGCCCCTGGCATCTCCTGGGTTGAGGTTAAGGATGCTACTAAGCTATAGCGCACAGGACATCCCCCCTGCCCCACACACACGCACACATGCACACTACCAAGCAGTCTTCCACCCAAATGGCCAGGAGTGAGGACGTTGAGAAACCCTGCCCTAGACTGTTAAATTCAATAAGAAATAATGGTTTATTGCTCACTGTGTGCCAAGCACTGTGTTAAACTGCTTATATACATAGTTTCATTTTTAGCCTCACAACAACCTGTGAAGAAAGAACTATCAGTCACCATTTTACTGTTGAGGGCACTAAGCCTTGTAAAGGTTAAATGACTTGCCCAGGGCCACAACTATTAGATGTTGCAGTCAGGATTTAATTCCAGGCACTTTGTGTTCAAAGTGTTTCTCCTCCACTATGCTATATGCCAGTAGTGCCGAAACTTAACTTTAGCCAGCAATTTTCTGCATCTCTTTAGTTTATGAACACTTATTCATTAGGACATGCAAGGTAAATCATACCAACACAGTCTGTGTATCCAGAATTCTAATTGATCTAGGGAGTGGAAGAGCCTGCCTCCCTGTTTTTTTTTGATTGGGATAAAATATAAATAACATAAAATTAGCCATTTAACCATTTAAAATATATAGTTTACTGGCATTAAGTAGATTTATTGTATTATGGTAAATGGAATTAACACTTATGATTTATTTCCAGAACTTTATCATCCCAAATAGAAACTCTGTATTCATTAAACAGTTTAACTCCCTATTTTCCCATTCCCCTTCCCCAGTCCACAGTAACCTCCATCCTACTTTCTCTCTCTATGAGTCTCCCTATTCTAGCTACCTGATGCAAGTAAAATCAGACCATGTTTGATCTTTTGTGTCTCGCTTATTTACTTAGCATAATATTTTCAAGGTTTATCCATGAGTGCAAACTTCCTTCCTTTTTATGACTGAATAGTATTTCAGTATGCGTGTGAAATACTGTTCACTGTGTGCACATACACACTGAAATACTAAGTCATAAAAAGCAAGTTTGCCCACATATGCACACACATTACATTTTGTTTATCTATTCATCAGATCATGGGCATTTGCGTTTTTTTCCTACCTTTTGACTGTTGTGACTTTCCCTTTATTTTTAATCTGAACTTTACTCCATCACTTCCTCTTTTTCCTTTTTTATTTGTACCACAATTTTGAACAAATAGACTTTGTATTTTC